CCCCAAAACCCCAAAACCCCAAAACCCCAAAACCCCAAGAATAAGCCAATTATAGAATTACCCAAATTTATTGAAAACAGATGACTCTGCTTCAGACTTACTCGGTGATATTAAGATTTGTTGAGAAGATGTCTTCTAGGAAAATCGATCCTGAAGAGGAGCCTGAGACATGAGAGTCGTTCAGAGGCTGTTCCCCATTGGTAAATATTAAGCTAATCTGTTTATCACTGTTTGCATAGAAGTCATCCTCATCTTCAACATTATTGGCTACTCTATCTCCCTGACTGCGTACATCAAATTCTTCCAAATGGACTGAAAGACTCTCGAGGTTGGATGAGATGTTATAAATATCATCGAAAATAAATTGATGATCAGCAGCCTCAAAGGATGAAAAACTGTCCAGATCTCTACTACTATCCATTGATAGCGAGCTATCATCAGAGTTATACTGGCGGATACTATCACTGCGATATATTTTCTACAAGGATGTGAGTATTTTCTAGAAAGTTCTGGCTTACCTCTCTTCACACAGGGCATGTTCTGTGTTCCTTAAACCAGTTCTTAATGCATCACTTGTGGAATATATGCTTGCAATTTTTGAGAATTCAGATGCCATTCGTCTCGAAATTTGCCAAGAATTCTTCTTTATTATTAGTTATATCCCTTTTAGCCACAATGTAAAAGGGTTCTCAGGAGCCATCGGAGGAGTTTAAAGATCTTGACAGCACTGAGGTTTGGGTGTCCTGCAAGTCACAGTTGTTAATATACACTATCACAGGATCACTAGCCTAAAAGATATATATTAAGAGCCGAGATCTTACCTTGACTGTTATCCGCTTGTCAGTCTCTTTCTTCAAAGCTTTTACTTTGTTTTTCAAGCCAGTGATGAGCTCAGGATCAACCTCATCAAAATTGGTGATGCAGATAGGTCAGATATACTCTAGAGGAAGATATGAAGTTAGTAGACTAAGCCAGAACTTACCTTCCTTTTCCTCTTCTTCATTCTCTGAGGATCTTTGGGTGAGCTCCTTAGAGTCTTGGGATACCATCTGTGTTTTGGATTTCTCTGGACTAGTTCCTTCTGTGCTTTCATGACTAACAATGCTCACCCTATTTCGTCTCTTTCAGACTCGTTTTAGGCTATATTTGCTCCAATTAGCAATGTGCTTTTCACAAGTTGTACAGGAATTTCAGCGTGATCCTCAAAATCCCAAACCAAATCTACTACAAGCACCCAAAATTGGTATCAGAATTGATAGGTTGTTCCAAAATATGTGAAAATTTCCAAAATTTTAACCCAAATTCTACAAATTTTGGTTGAACTTCTCCATCCTAAAGGCACTCTTTCCAACAGGCAGATATAGCTGAGGTAGCCATTAAGCTTGGCTCCAGAGCCATTTCCCTTGCTTTTAAGAGTCCAGAGTGTGCTTGAAGAGATGTATTGGGACACTTACCTTAACTTTGGTTCGAAATCCTCCATGTCTAATATCCGAATAAAATTATATTCCTGAAGGAATACTTTGTGGGGTTTTGGGGTTTTGGGGTTTTGGGGTTTTGGGG